ACGACAATAAACACCACAATCACAAGGCTCTAAGTCCTCTACTCTTAGTTACGACAATAAACACGACAATCACAAGGCTATAAGTCCTCTTACTCTTAGTTACGACAATAAACACGACAATCACAAGGCTCTAACTCCTCTTACTCTTAGTTGCGACAATAAATACTTTGTTTATGTAAAATGTATGTCGTTTATGTTGAAAGATAGTTTTAGATCATAACTTTTAAATATCAAAGAACTTTTATAGCCTTACAAAAATTCAAATGCGCTAAATAACGCAGTCGTGGCCGAATGCTTAAGGCGACGGACTAGAAATCCGTTGGAGTATCTCCACACAGGTTCTAATCCTGTCGACTGCGGCGCTGTTTTTTTTTTTTTTAAGTATTTTTCGGGGGCGTCTCTTACTAAACTTTCTTCTATAATTCATAATTACTCAACAGGAATAGGGGCGTGGCAACATCTAGCGCACCGAATTTCCTGCTTTTAGAATATCTGACAGAGTTCATTTGTTTGGAACTATGAAATCACGTAACTGCCCTGAATATTAGAGCTTTTGTGATTCAGACCAAACAAGTTACAAATAGTTACTGTCATGTAGCCACTTTTAGCTAAACTGACTGAAATATGGGTCTACGTGATAAGTTATACATGACATCACAGTTAAATAGACATGTATATGGACTAGTTCCATTATTTATCTAATTATCTTCGTCTGTCTCACAAGACTGCCGATAAATATTCACTCTCGAGTAGGCGATGGGGCTGTCTCTATCTCGAACAGGTAATAAACTTTAAGCACACGTGGGGTCTATGATCAATATTATAAGTATATACAGTAGGCGAAGTTGTTGAGACCGATCCCTGCTGATCGCAGGGCACTTATCCGGCTTTAGTCAACCAAATTACACGAAATTTTCATGACTTTTACTCCCACTAATATTAATCGCTGAATCGACTTACCCAAAACACCACTGACTGTTTAGAAGGTGTTTCTTACAGATGTAGTGGTACTGACTGTTTAGAAGTGTTTCTTACAGATGTATGGTACTGACTG